TCCATGGAATTGTCAAAAAAGCAGACCAAGAGGGTCCCTGCACCCTTGACTTGATCTACGTTGGTCAAGGAGACAGGCAAGAGGTGGAAAGGGAAGTCACCTTTTCCACAATAACATCATCTTTATTGATAAGGGTACTAGCAGACAAACTATGCTCCCATCCAGTCATTAGTAACATGGGTGTTAATATCCCTAATGTTCCCGAATCTGTTTGTTCCTGGCCATAATTTTGGAAGGGAGGCGAGGTCTGGATTGGAAGGCAAAGGAAAGAACATCCAAGCAGAAGGAAGGACTGGCACCAAGCTGGGAGGTCACTCCTCACCGTGAATCCCCTGCAGCCCTTCCCCAGGGAGGAACTTTTCTTCAGGACCTGGACATTGTGTACCTTAAAGAGTCTGTTCTGAACAGCATTGGTGTCCCCACAGGCACCTGCCTCACTAGGTCCCTGCCCCGTCAAGGGTGGCAATTCTCTCTGTGGCCCTCAGAAGGACATGGCACAACAACGTACAGCAACCTCCCTCCAAAACCTGCAGAAGACTTTTGGATCAACAGCAGTGTTTTGATTCACAGTGAATACTCTGAGAGGAAGTCAGTGTCCTCAGGCAGCTGAGATGGGAGGTGGGAGAAGGGACAGGGGACCCTTTTGAGTTCCAGCAGTGGAGCCTCTGCTTGTCTTGTCAGAACTGTAAATAGATGTGACTGCAACCAGCTGTGCTCTGGAGAAAAGCCAGGGGGAGGGGGAATGTCCTTACCTTGGTCAGGGACCATCCACCCAGGCAGCAGCAAGTCTGACCCTTCACAGGTCACCCTGTCAAGCAGAACCTGCCTTAAGGTTCTGCAGGTCTGTAGGTGAGCCAGAGGACAACTGAAGGACTGCCAGGAGCAGCTGACACCAACAGAGAACACGGAACCCCTGCCTGCAGTTAAGTCACAAAGAGTTCTACATTCTCAGAACCCTTCTGACCCAAGCGCAGGATCCGGCACTTGGCCTTGTTGAACCTCATCCCATTGGCCTTGGACCATCTAGGCAGCCTGTCCAGGTCCCTCTGCAGAGCCTTCCTACCCTCCAGCAGATCAACAACGCCTCCACAAACTGGTGTCAACTCTGCAAATTGCCTGAGGAGTCACTCAGTGCCCTCAGCCATGGTGGTTGATAAGGATATTGGACAGGACTGGCCTTGGCCAGCTCTGGGAAGGGACAATCACCTTTGGGGAGTCACCTTTTCCACGATAATAAAATCTTCATGGATAAGGATACTAGCAGCCAAACCCTGCTTCCATCCAATCCTAAGTAACATGGGTTTTATGAACTGGTTCACACTTGTAGAACTCCAGAACTTTAAAACTAATTGTCTTGCCCTCTACCCCACAAGCTCAGACCCTTTAGGAAACAGAGTCTGCGGTTTGATTCCCCTTCCTCCCCCTGCTGATTTAGCCCAAGGCAAGAAGATGGCAAGTTCTTCTTTCTAAGCATTTCTAAAATCAAATGCAACGGAAGATTGGGAGAGGCCTGGTAGGCAAGATTAGAGAGGCTCTCTTAAAAAAATTCCTTTACAAATCAGCACTAACTTTTGCCGTAAAGGTGTCTTGAAATTTCTAGCTGTGGGAATTGATTCCTGAAATCAGTTTTGTATTGAGTTGGCAGGCCCCCAGGCATCAGTGTGTACACAACAGAAACAGCAGCCTTCTCAGCATAGAATCATGTCATATTTGAGGTTGGAAGGGAGGTCAGGAGGTTTCCAGCCTGTCCTGCTGCTTAAAGCAAGGAAGGTGTGAGACCAGACCAGGGTCTTGAAACCCTTCAGGGCTCAAGACTTTTGAACAACCCGTTCAACAGTCTTGCCTGTCCTCCTGTAGTTAAGCTAGGTCTGTGCTCTGGGCTTTCAACATGCCTTTTGAGAGGAGATTTGAGCCAATCTTCAGAGCAGCAGCAGCAGTGAGGTCAGTGATGGTTGTGTTCTTACTGTGTCAGTACAGAAGTTAAAATACCACGACACCACATGCTCATAACATCTGTAGGACATCTAATCAAGGCAACTCTGAACATTTTATAAGGTGAGTTTATAACAGCAAGGGGTGAGTGTATGTGAAATTCTTGCTCTCTAAACCATGTAGAATATTACTAGATATAAATGTCTCCTATGAACTGTGGCCATCGAGACAAGATGTTGGACTCTGAATTGGCTGTGGTGCAATGGAGAAGAAAATTCAATTAATAGTTTATCACTAAAAAGTCCAGTTCAAAAGCAGGAGGGAAAAGCAAATGGAGCAGGAAGTCAATTTTCCAGTAAGGAAAAACATTCAGTCATTCAATTTTCCTTGCTCCAATTCCACATAATATCTGGCAGTGTTTTGATTTCCTAGATATAAACAAATCATTGTAGTCTTTTCTGCTTGCATGTTTTTCCTAGAATACTTTTCCCCCTCTTAGCTTTCCTGTCCTTTTGGAAGATATACTAGTTTATTTTACATTAAAAAAAACCAAACCAAAAACAAAATGGATAAAATTGTGCATGTGTTTTTTGACTAGACTTGGAAATCTTTGTAGTTTACTGGGACCATTTGTGCTACCAACAGTTTTGTTTCCCTATCAAGACTTATTTTGTGGCTAAAACATTAGGATAGCTGAAAGCAGCTTTCCCTCTAGAGTATGTGTAAGTGGTCTCATGCTGTGTTCCAGACAAACTCTTAACATGCCTGATGATATTTCACTTCATTTTTATTGAGTTCCAAAGATGAGGCTCTGAGCAGTATCCATTTCTTTAATACAGGACTTTCCAGGCTGCTATTTAGATTATTTTTAATCTGAGTTTTTTTCAGTATGAAAGAAATATGAGTCAAAAACTTGAGTCCTTTTTGCAGCTTATTTGCTGTACAGTCTATAGTCATTCAGATGACGTTTTTAGCATGTTTCAGATGTAGTCCAGCATGATTCAATTTGCCCTGCAACAAAAAAGGGGAGGTGAAGGATCCCGTGGGAAGAAGTGAATGTGAGAAAGACAGGAGGTTCTGGTCCAAGAGCAATGAGGGAGATTAATGTCATCAAACTCTCAGCAGGTGGTTTTGATTACTATTTTCAGAAATACACTTTATTTGCAGGTCTTTGTGCTTTATCCCAACAAATTTTACTGGTGACGCTATTTTAATTTACAGCTACACTGACTTAAACTCTTCTTCTTAAGAAGTTGTCTAGATCATAGAATCATAGAATCATAGAATCAGCTGGGTTGGAAGGGACCTCCGAGATCATCAAGTCCAACCCTTGATCCAACACCACTGCAGTTACTAGACCATGGCACTAAGTGCCACATCCAGTCTCTTTTTAAAAATCTCCAGGGACAGAGAATCCACCACTTCCCTGGGCAGCCCATTCCAATGTCTGATCACCCTCTCTGGAAAGAAATTCTTTCTAATGTCTAACCTAAACCTGCCTTGGCACAACTTGAGACCATGCCCTCTTGTCTTGCTGAGAGTTGCCTGGGAAAAGAGACCAACCTCCACCTGGCTACAACCTCCTGTCAGGGAGTTGAACAGATCTCCTGTTCTGAACTGTATTTCATGGCTGTTTTCACCAGTCCTCCTCCCTTCAGGTCTGCGTGGGGGGGAAAAAAAAAATCCCCCCCAAAAACTTGGAGACTGAGGGGAACCTTCGTGGCGTCTGCAGCTTCCTCAGGAGGGACAGGCACTGATCTCTGCTCTCTGTGACAGGACCCGAGGGAACGGCTGGAGCTGTGACGGGGAGGCTGAAGTTAGATATTAGCAGAGCTGCGTTGAGCAGGGCACGTCTCCAGGATGAAGGACCACAGCCCCCCTAAGATCCTGCTTTATGGTGAACTTGCCACCGGCTGCCGCAAGAGAGGAGCCCCGAAGAGAAGATACAAGGACTCCCTGAAACAACATCTCAGCCTTGGCCACATTGACCACCATAACTGGTCTACTCTGGCCTCCAATCGGGAGGCCTGGAGACACACCATCTATAACGCTGCTGATGCTTTTGAGAAAGCACCAGGATCACCCTCGAGGAGAAAAGACAACGCAGAAAGAATCGTGTCTTGCAGAATATACCACCTAAGGAGTCTTTCTGCTGTGCCTTTTGCAACCGGACGTGCCTGTCTCGTATTGGCCTTTTTAGCCACCAACGCGCTTGCAACAAACGTGGGTAGAGCCCTTCCCAAATCTTCGTTCGCCAAGCCGGGCCATGGTGATGTTCTCCCCCCAGAGGATGGTTGGGCACTGAACAGACTCCCCAGGGCAGCGGTCGCAACATCCCGCCCGACAGAGCTCAAGGAGCGTTTGGACAACGCTCTCCGGCACACGGTGGGATTTCTGGGTTCTCCTGAGCAGGTCCAGGAGTATTCCACGGAATTCCACGGTATTCCCCGCCACGGCGGAGCACCAGGCTCCTCCCCGGCAGTCACAGCGAGTCCCGCTCCGTGAGGGCGGAGCTTCCGCGGCCCCGGGGCCCGCGCCGGCCGCCGTCGGGCCGGGCGGGGCTGCGGGGAGGCCGCGATGGCGGCGCGGGCTGGGCTGTGCTGCCGGGCCGGGCTGTGGTGCGGGGCCGGCGGAGGGCTCCCGGCCTCGCCTCGCTGGGGCCGCGCCGCTTATTCCTCCTCGGCGCCCGCGGTGAGCGGCAAGGAAGGGCCGCAGCAGCGGGAAGGTGAGCGCGGGGGGCGCGGGGGGCCGCGCTGCGCCTCCGCCGGCAGGGCAGGAGCGAGCGCCGGGTGAGCGGTGCCTGGTTTCGGTTGTTCCCAAAGGGAATTTTCACCGTTTGCCGAGGGCTGTGCGCTCCCGTGAGACCAGGCCTGGTCTCTGAAAGAGCCCTTTAAGTGTTAAAGGGGTCGTGACCTGAAATTGTGGGTGTTCGTAGCAGAAACAGTGCGGTGCGAAGTGTGGCTGCGTGTTAAAGCACCACGAGGAAGGCGGGTCAGGCGATAAAGGAATATTGTGTGTGAGCTGTTGTAGAACACCCCGATGTATCTTTCAGTTTAAATGTTTTATATAGCAAGAAGAAGAGGATGAGCAGAATTGGGTACATAAAGGACTCGGGTAAGGAAAACGAAAGGTCTTGCGAGGTAGGGTTGTAAGGCATATTAATGAAGGGAAAACCCAAACGTCCACTCTTAATTTTTTTTTTTTTTTGCTAAATATATTAAAAAAAACCCAAAAACCTCAGAGCTCAAACCAGTCACTTGAAAGTAAATGGCATCAGCTTCACCTTCATTTGTCTGAGGCCACATTGTCCAGTGTTGTTTTGTGGAGAGCGGAGTTTGAAGTGTTTTAGAGTTTCAGGAGGGGCCGGAAATGGAGGAAAGCAAGATCTCTGATGAGTCTAAAAATCCAGTGGTATTTGGTATCTTCATGCATCCCTGGGAGTCCTTCACCACAACTCCAAGTGATATCTAGCTATAAAGTAGAGTCAGAGGCTGGCTCAGGCCTGAAAGGAGTTAAACTCTTACACGATTGCTCAGTAAACTGGATTGACATGATCCCCATCCCTCCCTCAAGAAGAGAAACAATCCAATGTGCAAACTGTTCATACAGAGATTAGTTGAGCTGCAGAGTGGCACAGAAGAGGGTGTGAAGTCAGAAGGAAGGGATGGAGCCATGCAATTCTCCTTTTGGAAGCAGTAACTCTTAGGTTTATCCATCTTGTGCTGCTGTGGCAGAGTGATTTGTGTCTGCACGGCCATCTGGGAAAGAGGGAGCACAGGGATGAAGGTGAAAGTTTACTCTCACTCATTTTCTCAAAGTTCTTTTTTATCTAATGTTTCAAAAAATAAATGAGCAGTCTGCAATCTGAGTACCTGATCTTCCCCTTCTTCCATGTAAAGATTGAGGAGTATTAATGGATATTGCTACAAAGACAAACGCAAAAAAAAAAGTATAGAAGACTATGTTGCATTCCCCACTCAAAAAAAAAACTATATAACAATTTGTATTTTAAATGGCTTTGTTGTTTTTTTTCCTTTCAGCTTCAATAAGGAGAAGAGGCAGGACACCACAGTTTGTAAGTACTGAAATGATCTGCAGCTAACTCAGGTGTTTGAGAAAGTTTTCTAAGCTGTGTGTCATAACAGGAACCCCTTCTGCAGTCAAACCCTGTGACTGTTCCAGGCCAGCACCTGCCTTCTGTAATGTCCCAGCTCTTTTCAGTCTGTGCCTTCATAAAGCCAAAACATAACAGTGAGCTAATAGTTAACTTGTATTGACACCATGTACTGCAGGTCTGAAAAGTAACTTAAAGTTGCATTTTCAATAAACCAGACATTTTAATGTTATTTTCAATCTGAGTTTACAGGATTTGTGGTGGTTTCTTTGTGGTGTAAATAAAAAATGTGATCTTGTGCATCAGTGAAATTGTACTTGCATGGTGGATTTAAAACTCATATCTGGACATTTAATAACTGGGAATTTCCTGTTGTCATCCACACGTACATGTCAAAAGTTGTATAGTACAGGTTATGATGTTTTAAAAGCAAATAGTGAAGTAGA